GATTCTCCAGCATCTGCAGTTCCTACTATCGCAGCATCTGGAACATTTCCTTGATCGATAGAGTATATGAAAGGAGGATTGAACTGAAAGTTAAGCCAGTTAATTGAAAAGGAATTATTAGTTCTGGAAATAAAATCAGAATGAATCAAAAAACTGTCAAACAAAACCAAAAATCTATAGGTGCTTTTAATCAGAAATAAAGAAGTATTAGAAAAGCAAGTTTGTAGCATCTGTTGGGGGAAGAGAGAGAGACTGAGAAAGGGGTGGGGGCATAAGTGCAGGAAATTGGAAATAAGTGGTCGTGGGCCTGGCCAGCTACTATGATTTGATTTGATTTGATTTGATTTGATTTATTCCTGTCACATGTACTGAGGTACAGCAAAAAATGTTGACTTAGGTGCCTTACAAGCAGATCGTACTATACAAGTGCATCAGGGTAACAACAGAATGCAGGATACAGTGTTACAGCTGCTCAGAAGTTGCAGATTGAGATTAACGTTAAAGGGGTCTGTTTAAAACTCTGACAGCGAGGAAGAAGCTGTTCTTGAATCTATTTGTATATATATGCAGTCTTTCATACCTTCTGGCTGACAGAAGAGAATGGAGGAGAGTATAACTGAGGTGGGAAGAGTCTTTGATTATGTTGATGTTTTGCTGATGCAGCAGCTAGTATGGATGAAGTCATTGGATAAGAGGCTAGTTTGCTTGATGGACAGGGCTGTGTTCACAGCTGTCTGTATTTTCTTTTGGTCTTGGAAAGAGTAGTTGCCAGACCACGCATTGATGTAACCAGACAGGATGCTTTTCTATGGTTAATCTATAAAAAATTGTAAGAGTCTTTATAGGCATGGTGAATTTCCTTAGCCTCCTGAGGAAGTAGAGGCATTGCTATGCTGACAGACCATAATGTCAACGTTGGTGGACCAGGATAGATTGGTGATTTTCACTCCCAGAAACCTGAATATCTCCACCATATCCATCTTTAATCCAGGAATCTTGTGGGAAAAGTAAGATGAAGCAGAAGATTAATGTTATATTTAATCTAAAGTCACAAGAGCAGGGTTGGGTTACAGAGCAGGTGAAGCTTTTTCCATTATGACAATTTCATGTACAAAATTATTTCTACATATCCCTTATTCCCCTTATACCAATGAAGTCTCTGAATTAAAAGCTCCAATTCTCCCAGAATCCACAGCTGTATTGCAAACCAAATCCAGATTTCTACTTGCCTTACTATGATACATGGTTTCTGTTCAAAATGGCCCAATTCTGAAGATTATGTCCCATTGTCCTTGATTTGACCCATCTAAGAAAGTAATTTCGCCATGGATCTCAAATCATTTTAAATTAGTTATTTTGTTGAACTCATTTCATTACTTGCTCACAACAAGCAGCTCTCTCTTGTTTTGTACTGTCCAAGTATGACCAGTTTGCAATTTTCCTATTGTAGTACATCATTGTCAAAGATTTTATACAGATATTTTTGTTATAACACGTGTTTCGTTAATGCAAATTGGCTGTAACGAGTTTAAAATAATTTGAGATCCATGGAGAAATTACTTTCTTGGATGGATCAAATCAAGGATAATGGGCATACTCTACAGAATTGGGCCATTTTTTGAACAGAAACGACTTATCGTTGTTAAGACAATTAGAAATCTGAACAGTGGATGCTGTTTGGATAACGCGGACTTTCTGCTGTACAGGGAGAACGATTTCCTATAACACGATTTTCTATAGTGCAAGGTCACACAAGAACGCAACTATCTGTATCTGTATTGGCACTGCAGTTATGCAATATATGCAGCATTAAACCAGACCGTGTCTCTGTCACTGCTGCCCCTTCTCCCTGCTTTGCTATTAAGCCTGTTTAACCATTGACTCTTGATTTACACTTTTAGTATTTGTGCAAAATAAATCTTCACATGAACTCGCTTTGCCAGTGCTGATCCCTGTTGCGGTCCATTTAGCTTCCTGCACCTTCAACAGGACACCTACCAGCTGCTCTCTTAAACACCAGAACAGGTGAAGGTGAAAAACCATGTTCCGGAGTTCAAGTCAGGACGAACAGCATAGGAAAAAGAAACTCTCTGGTTAAGTGTTTCAGAAATTAAATTGACAAGCAGCAACTGGATGGAAACAAGTTCTTAAGGTTATTACTCAGACTATGTGCAAACTAGCTTGAGTAAACAAATTAATGAAGTAAATGGTTCCCAGAATTCTTGAAGAATTGAGCGTTTCTGATCAAAGAAACACTGAAGCTAGCATTGGAGTTTCATAACTGTCGTTATTAATAACCCATTTTCTTCTTAGCCTCTTGTGCTATCTGCCCCCGTTGTTACAATCTACAAAGTGGAAGCTTTTCGAAAGGCTCAAACTCCCAGTTAATAGCCGAAAGAATGGCAAGACAAGTTTTAAGATATTAGCCAACAGAAGATTAGAAATGCTCATGACTAAACAGTATCTTTTGTAGTTGACATGTATTTTGAAGTTTAGGACAAGTACTGCCTTGTTTTTAGCACAAATGAGCAAAAACCACTTTGTAGATATTCATTTCATTGTCCTTTAGATATTCTTGTGAAATCTGTCCCAAATGATTGAGCTTTTGAGGGTTTTCTTAGGATTGTTTCTTTTTCAAGTCTTGAAACCTTTTGTTCTACAACTGTCTTTCATACTGAGTTTTCTTGGAGACTGCATGCTGTAACTAAGGCTAGCCAAATTTTCCAGCTTGTTCTTATCTGCTTATGAATTTGATCCTTCCAATCAAGCACAGGCTTCCACTGCTGTTCCAGTTTGGTGAATCAGAGACTTCCAGCCTCGAGCTGTTTTCTCTCTCCAGTACCCGACAGATTAACTGTGTCTGAACATTTT